CCCTACAACCTGCATGCAGCAACCTGTCCTGCCTTATCAAGAACGTGTTCACAACCAACCATCCAGCAGACGAGAGCAGGGCCGTCTTGCTCCCATACCCCAGTGGAAACAGGTAAAGAAACTGATTATGAATACAATACATTGCCTGCACCCAACACCAGCTATCGCTGCCCTGTTTTTTAAACCAGTCGTTTTCTAGCACCTTGTGTGAGTCCATTATTTTAAATAATTTAACTTTTAATGAATAAAATCAACATCTGCCTTTGCTAAGGATGTATGGTTTAATGTTTCAAAAGGACTTAGTCAAATTTTCCCTGCCCTCTTATGCTAGTTTCAACTTCCCAGGGTTTCAGTGGATGTTTTAGCAGAAACCTTGCCTATAGATGCAACCTAGTGTAGATATTTTATCATCCAGAGTATTTCTACATTTTTCTTTTAGAAAAAATTTGAAAATATGTAAGCAGTTATCGCAACCAATGAGGTTAAAGGTGTCACACCATCTATGATATTAAAGTTCTTCCTTGATATAAATAGTAAAATCGGTTCAGTTTTGCTAGTCACATGTGAAATCTTGTGTGTTCTGCAATTACAGGAGACTTTGCTGTGGTTTCCTTTTCTGTATGACAAACGTAGCTATCCTTGCCAACTTCTCACATTCATTGCATTGCAGATTCCTGTATTACTGTGAATTAAGTAAATTTTAGGTTTTCTGACACAGGGCGGGGTCAGAATAGGGATCAACAGCAGAAAAATCAGCAGGTATCAAATTTTATTTTCTCTCATGTGTTTTGGCCCAGTGTCATTGCCGGTGTTTTTCTTTCAGCAGTGTGCTTTCAAAAGCAAGACTTGTGACAGATGATCTTTTCAGGCAGATAGGGATACTTATCTCATTGGCTTCCTCCGTTTCCACTGTTTCCCTGTGTAAATGACCTCCTCATGTTTCCAAGAGTGCCGAGATACATTTTTCTGTCAGCCATAATTTGGAGAAATATCTGCTTCTTTCTGGCTTCAGTTTAATCAGAGCATACTTAGGAGTCAAGAGGAAAAAGATGACACTAGTTTGGAAATGCACTATTCTGCATGTTTATGGATTCATGGTGAACTTAATGTTCAAAGCATTCAACATAATTAGTGCTGTATGTCGTGACCAGTGCCATGATCTAGAAGATTTCTCT